GGCTTTCTTCGTCTCCCCAAATGATGCATGGCCAGAAGGAAAAGCTCACTCTGGTAGACCATGAACTGTTTGGGGGCAGAAAGTGTATCCCAGATGGCCCTCTGTCGAGGACAGGGGTAAGGACAGAAGGGTGGGGAGAGCCACGTTATGTTGGCATCTGTTCCCATGCACACAGGTTCCCCCCATCTTGGTTCTACTAACATTTATGTGCCCTGCTGTAGCTGTGCCTTCCTCACTCATTCTAGAGACCAGTGGCTGTGCTTGGAAGGAGTGATGGAGATGAGGCTGAACTTCAGGGTACTGAGGCTGTAAGGAGCCGATCCTTTCCAGGAGAGACGCAGCAGATGGGTCAGCTGCAGCGTGACTGTGGTGGTGACGATCACTGCATTAGCTGAAGTTTGCTGGACTTTGATGTGCTAACTATCATCTCAAGTCTTTACATGCCTTAGCCTATTAATGCCGTGAGTTACACTCAGAGTTTTACAGATGAAAGAGCCAAGATGTGGGAAGCCTTGGTCATAGCTACTCCTTCCTGAGTGGGGTATGGTAGGTATACAGACATGAGAGACCTGAGAGGTACTGTGAGATCTGGAAGGCTTCCCTGAGTTGAAGGAAGAAGGAAAGGCAAACTCATATATGCCACCAGCTTGCAGTGTGTCGACTGTTGACAACACAGAGAACCCATTATGTATATATAACATGGACGAACTCTGACAACTGCAAACAAGCTCAGGAGACACAACACCCTTCTCAGTACCTAGAAATCAGCAGAGCATGGAGTATGCTGTGTGACACAATCAGAAATGTGCATTTGGTCTCTGTCTTTTCCTGGCGTAAGTTTTCTAAAACATTTGGAATCTTGGAAAGGATGAGTGTCTTTTTAAACTAAGAAAACTGGTGATTGGGAGCTTCCGACAGCCTCAGGATAGTGGCTGGTTGCCTAGAAAACCAACCACGTCGTCAGAGGGTTAGAGACTTCACTTACCATGACCCTGCTCTTCAGGGAAGGGGAATCAATATAATCATCAATGATTAGTCATCATTAATCATTAATTAACTCTGTAATCAATCAAGAATGTCTACATAATGAAGCCTCCCTAAAACCAAAATAAAGCTTGCTTTAATTTGTCCATTATTTGGGTCAGCAGTCTTTTTCTTCACATCTGTGGGATTAACACAGACCTGTGAAACTGAGCTTTTATTTCATAAACTCTGTGCTCACTCCAAACAGTGTCAGGGCAAATTGAGTTCAGCCATAGGGTACCTAGTTAATGTTGGAGAGGGCTGGTTGGTGTGGAAACTCATCCATTTGTTAACTAGGAGCACTTCAAGTATGCTAGAAGGAAACAGTGTTTTCTTTCCACCAGATCTTACTGACTCTACTCTGTCACTGTGCCCTCCAGTTCTTCTCTTGGGAATAGATCCCATGTAAGACTTAGAAGCCAGAAGCAACTGTAGGTGGTAAAAGGTCCTTAGGATGTACTGTCTACCCACTGACATTGTAACCTAACCAATAGGGACAGTGAGTACCTACAGGGAAGAAACATGTTCTCAAAGGGCAATCTTTGGGGACAGTGAATGAACAGGATCGATCTGCCTTGTTGTCCCTGAGAGAGCTGCAGGAGAAGACTCATTGGCTGCCTATCTCAGGCCTTGTCCCACCCATGAACCTTTGAATCAGGAATTCATGTGTGTGGGTACCAGGGGTCATCAAATCACACACTTAGAAAGAAAGAAAGAAAGAAAGAAAGAAAGAAAGAAAGAAAGAAAGAAAGAAAAGAAAAGAAAAGAAAAGAAAAGAAAAGAAAAGAAAAGAAAAGAAAAGAAAGGGTAGGGGTATAGCTCAGTTTAGGGCCCGAGACTAGAATGCACAAAGCCCTGGGTTTGAGTTCAAGCACTGGGGGAAGAGAGAGGGAAAGAACTCCAAGAAACAACTTATCAGCTTTATAAGCTGCTCCCTGCATAAAGATGGGGAGGTCTGGAGAGAGCAGCAGCCTGCAAGCAA